TTCTCTTCTGAAAGATACTTCTCCAAGAAAAATAAATGTTTTGTTCTACTTTCAGTTGAGGCTTTCTAGTTTTCCACGGCCCTTTGAGTAGTTTTTGCACCTAATTTCAGAAAACCTCCTTCCCCGCCTGAGAGAAACAGAGAGATTTCTGACTAATCATTGGTAATGTGCCTCAATTCTATCCCTCATCTAATCAAAAATAAGGAGCTAAAACCTCACCGTATGATTTGAGCAAGTAATTTAGTAAATGCCTTTCCTCACCAAATATGAAAAAGAAGCCTCCAGGTTTCATTGCACAGATGAAGATAATGCTGGCAGGATTAGATCAGATTAAGCATGAAAGTCAGATCAGAGAGCAGCAGCAAGAGGGAAGGGGGCAGCCTCTTCTTGAAGGTTTAGTCGAGGGTCACACACGGATGGGTTCTGATTATGTGGGGAAGGCAGGTCTGGCCAAGAGATTGAGAGTTAAATTCGTCCCTCACACAAATATCAAAACAGCCGGGCTTTGTCATACTTCGTGTTATGGACACTCACACCATGTCATCCTATTTGTACCAGAGAGACAAGCAGGGGAAGTAAGATTTAAGCTCTTTTCTGATTAATGTTCTCAGTTAGGTTAAAAATAGCCATACAACATGTTTGAAAAGCAGTCTTTTTTCCCCAGCCGACAACAGGGTCACGTACCACTGGTATATATACAACGCATATTCAGTTTAAGGCTTTCATTACAAACATATAACATAGTACAGTATTATATGAATACGCACACAGACACACACATCTGGTGGCTGTGTGAGAATTTATGGCTTCAAATGAACTAAACACGCCAAGCTTCATTTTATAAATGGCCTTTCTATGCATGAATTGTTGTTAAGTTTTTTTTTTCCCCCTGGTGTTGTTAAGTGCCAGAATGTCAGCCTATTTATAATTTCCCATTTGTAAATGTGAAACATTAAGCTACTCTCATTGCGATGCTAATATTATTTCCAAAAGAAAGGCTTTGGTAATGGTCTCTCTTCATTTTCACAGGGATGGGTAAGCTGCTTAGAAACTTAGAAAGTACAGTAATGTTTACAATATTACTTGTAATGTCGCTCATCTAGCAGCAAAACACGGGATTTCGCGAGTTCTTTATGTCCTGTTGGTTTGGTATCTCCCTACAAGAGCTCTAGCGTGGATGCAGGCAAGCAGACCGTGCTGCATTTTTTTTTTTTCTTTGAAATGTCATAGAGGAGGGAAAGAAATCTCTATTTGAGGTGCTACCTCCAAGATGAAACCTGAAATGCTTGGTGCCAGAAAGAGGAACCACACATAAATAGATCACGGCAAGTCTCACACCACCCCTTAGTCGTGTCAGCAATGAGATCTGGATTAGGCCACAGGAACATGGAGCAGGAGTCGGAGTTCAAATATTAGGTACACGGATTAAATTCTTATTGAAGCATTTCCAGCAAGGGTGGCATTGTCTGATTCCCTGAATAGCTAACCAGTGGTAAGGCTTGATCCCATTTACATGAAAACAAGCTCTATTCACAAACCTATTCCAAACCCACATTGTGGTTCAAGTAAAATGCGCATGATTACAACAAGGGTGATATGTTTATGTGCTTAAATCATTCATATATTCATATATTTACATTCAAACATTCACAAACCTGTAGGCAGTGGGGGAAATAACTTATTTCCCAGCAAAGACGGTCTCTTAGTTTGCAACTAAATGTAGTAGCTCAACTAGATTATAAAATAAAGAGGCAAACTGTGAAAGCTAGTCATTATTTCACTGTTCAGCATTTTTGACAATGAAAAATAGTTTCATGGTTCAACAGTTCCTAAATAACTTGTAAAACTTGGAAATAAACAGGAGGAAAACTTGAGATACAGCCACAACTTGCGAAAGGATGCTGTTGACAAACATCAAAATATTAGAATATTTAACCACAGGTGTAGGAAAAAGCCCTGCCTATTAAGTTCCTCAGTTGACTTGTTTAATGTTGTGTTTAATATAAGGATTCCTTTCTGCTGGAATGCAGGCCAGCCCGGTCCTTGCTGCGTTTAGAATAGTGAGTGATTGTTAATTTTAAGCCTGCCTTTCCAGACTCCTGTTCAATCACAATATAATCTAAGGGTCTGGAAGTAAGATGTTTTTTATCCAATGAATGCTTTCATTCAGTCATTCAGTGTTTGACGGCTCTCCAGTTTATTGTAGCTCTGCAAAAATAGAAATGACTCTGTACGTTTGAATTCTCAAAAGGCTTAGAAAGCATATCTGAAATGCCACCCATCGCTTGACCAATCCATTGAGCTGGGTTTGCAGGACATTCAGCACATCTGCGTGTGCCCGCAGCCTGAGACTGGAAAGAAATGAGAGAAAGAACTACAGCCTGGAGCGGCACCCCACCCAGCTCGGCCCCCTCAGCGTTTTTACCCTGGCTGTGTAGTGTGGATTATTTATTTTCTTCATCTCTTTTACTTGACTTTTAATGATGGTGGAAAAAAGTTTGTTTTTTAAGCTGTTTTCATGAAATTTTTTTTTCTCCAAATGGAAATACAATGGGCTCTGGAATTTCCTTTTTTTTTTTTTCTTTTAGATGCTGTGATCATGGATAGGTCTAAATCGTAACTCATAGACTTGTACACCTAGAAACATCTTTAGCCTAAATGCAGTCAGCCCTTTCACTTCATATCTGGGAAGATTCAGTCTCCGAGAAAATACATGAATTGGTCAAGATCTCAAAACTAAAAGGATAGAGCCAAGTGAGATCAGAATATAGCATCACCCTGAGCTCTCACAAAAATCAGCTGATACCTATTGAAGGAGGTCATTCCTCTACTGAAAGTTAAATCTAAAACAGTGAATTTATCCTGGCATGTTTCACCTTGAAAATTACATAGGGGTCTTCCTTTCTATGGATACAGACAGAGAAAAATGTCTCCTCGGTCTCTATGCTAATTAATTTCCCCATGAGAGGAATCACAGATGCTCTATGGTCTGCATAAAATTCTTGATTCTAAGGGAGGCAATGAAGATGGTCCGACACCTTTCCTTTGTTGGAAAATCTGTGATTCAGATCAGTGAGTGGAGCAAAGCAAGTGTTGATGCTACCTGTGAATTACACAGAGGGATGTGTGTGTGTGTGTTAATGGCCAAACTAGACTGCCAATGTACTTTGATCAGTAACTGAGGGGAGAGTTAAAATGATATCTCCATCCCCATCACTGACCCACTCAGTCTTTTTTAAATAGATCCACTTAAGCTACTGCTGCTCTCTCAGCCCATTAGGACTTATTTAAGGGGTGAATTTTCAGGAGATTGTATATCATTCCCACTAAAACACATTAAAATTGCTCATATGACATACCCTACAAATGTTATAAATTCTGCATCAGAGTTAAATAGAATAGTGAGCTTGCTTGGAATAAAGATCTATTAGAGAACTACTAATAGAATTACTTTTGGGAAATTTGATTCTGAGTGATGGGTTAGACGGCATTACCTTTGGAATAACAGTGTTTGGAATGTGTGCTGTGTGTTAAGCTCCACTTTGCTGTGAGCTGCAAAGCTAACATCTTTGTTGTCGCTCTTACCAACATTCAGTAGAAGTAGTTCTTTATAAGGGCATGTTTAAATGCTGAACCACATTCCTCCCTTGTCTAAGGTATAGCTCTGTGCAGCAAACTCCTCCGAGCAAGAACAGCAGCCCTCCTATGGCCACTGATATTCACCTTTGCTTAGAGAAGGGTAAAGCAGGGCCATCGAGAAGGTGATACCTACCCATGATGTTAGATGAGGAGCAGGAAGACCAAATCAGAAGGACCAACCCGCAGCATCAAAAATGGGAGTAGGGCTCTTCCCTCATAGGGTGGCCAATGCCAGTGTTGCTGGGTGTTCTGGCTTAAGCTGTAAGAGACCCACTGCTAGAGGAGAAATCCAAGTCATTAATGGAGTGGTTTTCCACATTAATTCCCAAACAAAAGCATTTGGAACTGTGTTATGCGTTAAGATCCCTCTTCAAAAGTACTTCTGTCCCTGATTTTTAAAAAGATGTAATTGTCAATTTTTTATTAAATAGAAGACAGTTACTTTTTTGCTATGTTTTGTGTCACAAAAACATGACCTAGAAGTGATGGCTCTAAAGCTCAAGATATACACTTGGTCATTATAATAACCATCTCTACAGCCCAGCTGTTCTTCTCCAAGAAGCAATCAGCCTTTCGGTCTATGGCATCCTCAGCTCTTTTCCAAATGTTGAGGGGGAGATGTGCAGAAACGCAGGCATGCTTTCTGCCTTCAAGAGGCATAGCACCTGGGAGAAGGTTCCAACAAAGGAACCTTGGACAACCCCCAGATGCTCTCCTTATGGTACTGTACTTAGAAAATGGGGAGCTTAGTGTGCATGCGAGTAACCGGAGATGGCTTTCTAGGCCTACCTACCTGGCCTAACTGCAGCCATCTGATGACCTAACGCTGCTTGGAGAAGCCGTGGGGTACTGATGTGAGTCTCAGCCTGCCAATTGGTAGCTATGTGACTTCAAACCTTGCCATGCTGCAGTTTCCTTAGATATAAAATGTGGATAAAAATAATAATGATAACAATGGTAACTACTTCATAGGACTGACGTGAGGATTAAATGAGCCAATCCATGAAAAGCTCTTAGAAAGTATCTAATACCTGGTAGTCAGCTCACTGACTGCTGTTTTGTTATTAATATGTGTGTGTGTGTCTGATATTCATATTTAATGTGTGTGCTGTTTCTGGCTCATGTCCCATTTATATGTAGTATTGTAACCTCCATAAGGACAGGAATAGCATCCCCTTCTTCCTCCTGTCCCGACTGCTTTTCAGTGCATGCATGGCTACATGCCGTGACCTTGGCAACCAGCCATCCTGGATAGTCCAGGACTGTTCAGATTTCAAAAATTCAGCTGCATTTTCTAAGCTCCAGAGTTCATATTTATCACATCACATATCCCAGTGTGAGGTTCAGAAACAGTGGTCCCCACCAATGACTATGGCTGGCAGACTCAAGCAGCTTTGCTTTCTCTTGGCAGTGCTCCAGCCGTGCCCGGGAGCCCTTCTCCAGTGGAGGCATGACCCCTGGTGATGGGCAGCCAGTTCTGCTCTGGTCCCTTTAGCACTAGATGCTTCCACTGACCTCCACCGTAACCCCACCCGCAGAACATTTCCTTGCCTTTAATACATATCTAGCTGTCTTAGTTGTTTTCTGCTGCTATAACAACACCTACTGTGTGTACAGATTTATTTCTCATAGTTCTGGAGGCTGGTAAGTCCAAGCTCAAGGCATCAGCATGTTCAGTGATAATGCCTTCTGACAACAGGGGCAGAATGACCCAAGCAAAGCCGTGACAGACAATGGAAGAAATTCTCTAAAGACCACTGTAGAAAAATGAGAGAGCAAGTGAACTGAAAACAAACAAACAAACAAACATGAGTTCAAGGGAGAAAACTCCAGAATTACCATGGTCTCTGGCATACAGCCTAAGCCTGTTCTTTGTTCTTGGGGCTATACACTCCTGGGTCACTGATTGAGTCTAATCTCAGTGCTGTTCCTAGTCACTAAAAAGCATTACTCACTGGGCAGCGCCTGTGGCTCAAAAGGGTAGGGCTCCGGCTCCATATGCCGGAGGTGGTGGATTCAAACCCAGCCCTGGCCAAAACTGAAAAAAAAAAAAGCTTTACTCACTGAAATCTGTTCTGTGAGGTCAGCCTCATAGCACCCTTAGTGGGCAGAGAGCGCAGAGACTAGGCTCAATGATAGCAAGTGCCCGAAGTGCTTCATCCAACCAAATGACTCCCTCGAACAGCAGTTTAGAAATTGTTCCTTTATTTCTATGGCCATTCCACAGCCCAATCTTGTCTGATCTCCAAAGCTAAGCAGGGTCAGGCCTGGTTAGTACTTGGATGGAAGAAATTATCCCTTTAAGGTTAACACATGGCCCAGTCATGTGTGAATCCTGGCCCACTGCATGTTGATGACTTTAGTTGGGTAATACCACATATTTTTCGTCTTTTTTTGTATCATCAGTGAGACACTTGAATGGTAGGAAACAATTTCTCTTTTTTAGTGTTGGGTAAACATGTGTCATTAGCCCTGTATTTATCTCCATTAGTATCATTAGACTTGAAAACCCAGTTTAATCTGGATTCTGCTCTCTTCTCAATGTCAGCCTGTTTCTGGACCAGTACAGAGCCAGCCTTGTTGATGCAATAAAGAGATTACTCCAGCCCAGGGTGAGTATGTTTCTATTTTTCTTCAGAACACTGGCTACAGAATAATTAGTCTGTGCACAAAGATGGAGAGAGTAATGGAATGGCAGGATTAATGTCATGTAATACTTTAATACTTATTATGTCCAACTTCAATTGGGTCTTCTGATCTATCAGATTCTTTCCTAATCATAACTAGGAAACTTCTTACCCTTGGCCTTCTGATAAGAAACACAGTGGGTAGTAAAATAAATGAAACTGCTTCAAAGATAGTGTGAGATTATTTTTATCAAAGAATTTCTTGAGTCTTTTCCTTTGATAGCAATATCTTCATATTAAAGTGGAAGTATGATATTGAAAGTTTTCTGTTGACTTCTGTCATTTTTAATCCCTTCAATGGTAACCTTTGTCATTGCATTTTTATTTATTGCAAAAAAATACTTTTTTTTCTTTTTATTTCTGTTTATGTTAAAGAAAAAGGACTTCAGATGAATCTGTATATTAAAAGTTCTTTGCTTTAAAAGGAAGCCATTATTTACATATTATAAACATTAGGTCACAATGAAGCCAAGCATGGAATAAAATATTGTGCACATTTTTACATTTATATATCCATTTATGCCTGTGAGTAAATTACAGAGTTTGTATCCACTCTTATTTTGTTGGGCTGTTATACTAAGCTAGGAGGTCCTGCAGCCTAAACGGAGAGTTAATATACATCTATTTAAAGTAAGAAAACGAGTTTTAAGCTCATGCATTTAAAAAAAATCTTATAAGTATGTATGACTCTTGCTGTGCCATAGGAATTTAAAATAGGTTAACAGTATTAATGTGATCTAAGACTGGAACTCACATTTATCTGAGAAGACAGCAGAGTGTGCATGTGTGTATGCATATGCACACGTATGCATACACACGTGTATGTTCAAAAGTTTCATTTTTAAAGTCTTTTTTAAAAGATTTACTCTAGTCTTCTGACCTCAGTGAGACTTACAGACCGATACCTTTCAGTCTGTCTTTTATATCTTGTCCACATTGGAGGTTCCCAGAGCAATCTGACAATCATTGTTTGCCTTACATGGTTGCTTTTTATTTTACTATCTCTTTATAGCTCAGAATTTTTTCTTTTTTTTTTAGAGACAGAGTCTCACTTTATAGCTCTCGGTAGAGTGCCATGGTGTCACAGCTCACAGCAACCTCCAACTCCTGGGATTAGGTGATTCTCTTGCCTCAGCCTCCCAAGTAGCTAGGACTACAGGTGCCCACCACAATGCCCAGCTATTTGTTCATTGCAGCTTGGCTGGAGCTAGGTTCGAACCCACCACCCTCAGTATATGGGGCTGGTGCCCTACCCACTGTATAGCTCAGAAATTTTAAACAGGCCTCTCAGAGGAGTAACCACAGCTTTGTAAGTGGTAATCAATTCAACTAAATTGGCCTTCTCAGGCTGGTCACTGTGGCTCATGCCTGTAATCCCATCACTTTGGGAAGCTGAGAGAGGAGGATCACATGAGGCCAGGAGTTTGGAACCAACCTGTGCAATAGTGGGACCTCCATCTCTACAAAAAATAAAAAATTAGCCAGGCACAGTGGTGTGTGACTATAGTCCCAGCTACTCCAATCTGGGCAATAGAGCAAGACCCTGTCTCTAAAAATATATAATAATAGTAATAAATAGCCTTCTCACCTTCTTAGTTCCCTTTGTGAAGTGAATGGTAGGCCTTCTTTTTTTTTTTTTTCTGAGACAGAGTCTCACTCTTTCACCCTGGGTTGAGTGCCCTGGCATCATTGTAGCTCACAGCAACTCAAACTCTTGCACTCAGGCAGTCCTTGTGCCTCAGCCTCCCCTGGTAGCTGGGTCTACAGATGTGTGCCACCACACCTGTAGATTGGCTAATTTTTCTATAAAGACAGAGTCTCACTCTTCCTCAGGCTGGTCTTGAACTCTTGAGCTCAAGCAATCCTCCCACCTCGGCCTCCCAGAGTGCTGGATTATAGGCATGGGCCGCCGCACCCAGCCACATGGTAGGTTTGAGGCAAGGAAAGAGCATGTCCCAGGCTGCTGATACTTGCTGTCTGGTTGAGTAGGTAGCCCTGTTGAGGGCAAACTAGAGAATCTGGGGCCTCTTCATCCTCCTGTTAGTCTTGAGTGATTCTTGTGAGCATTTGCAAGACCATATTTTCAGGGAAGGTGCTAATATTCTTGGATGTGAGGTCCTCTTTGAAAATGTATCATAAATAAATACGATGCTTTCAAGGACTCCTGGATCTCACACTGTACAAATAGTATAGTACTTCACTCGTCACCAATACCCCTTCAAAGCCTATTTGTGACAAATTCTCCATTTTGCAGCAGATTGCATGATTACTTGGGATCCATTATAAATCATTTACATGACTTATAATAGAAACCTGCCCAAGCTATGAACAGACCCAAATGCAGATTGGATGGGAATCTCTGGCAGCTCTTTTGTACCCTCTGATAAACCCTGAACATGCCCCCTGCCTGTCTGAAGTTGGCTCCACATAGCAGCCTTCCTGCTGACCATAGATATTCAGCCCAAAGGATGGGGCCCGAGAGTAGGTGGCACATACTCACGCTGTGTGAGCAATAGGAAAACAAAACCAGAGGGGCTCACACCAAGGTGCAGCATTAAAAAAGGGAGTAGGGGCCTCACTTAGGCTCCTGGGGGAATGACTGACACCCAGGACTGCCAAGTTTTCTAGCCTGAAGTGTAAGGGGCCCACTATCAGAGGGGAAATCCCAGTTGGGCATGGCATGTGGCCATACTAAAATGACCACCCAGGAGTCTTATCCACCTCAGGAGGTCTGAGCAAGGGGGACTGTGCATCTAGATGGCCCATAGGTGGGTCATGCAGGCATGGCAGGAAACTGCAGCAGTTCCACATACTGTGCTGGGAGCCTAGAATGTTCCCAAAGCTTGGGGACAACAAGAGGAAAAACTAGACTCTTCTTCCTTTTAGCTTTCAAGGATCCTCCCCTACTGAGTGTACCTGTGTGGAAATCATAGTCCAAGGCTAAGAGAATATTCAAGGTTTTACTCCATTATAATTAAAACTAGTTTTAATGTTCTCTGAAGCTCAGACAACTGCTCCATTGTTTTGTGGTCCAGAGGCTGATGGTGCCACAAGAGATCCAAAAAGAAACAAGTGGGGCTGTACTGGTGGATCCTGAGTTCTTGGTGATTCAGTGTAAATAGTGTAAGTTCTTAGGGTACTCATCAAAAACTGCACATCAGCCAAGTTCAAGTTCATAGCATGGCTCCAGTTTCTGAAGGTAAAGTGCAGTGGGTGGAAACAGTACAAAAATCTGCTTACAAAACCTAGGTCTGTACTAACTACCTAGCTTCTCTGAGCCTTAGTTTCCTCACCTGTAAAAAGGGAGAACTAATTCCTACCTTGGGGGCTGGTGTTAAATATTCACATACGTAAATGATTATGTAAATGATTAGCACGTGCCTGGTGCATAGGGGCATTCCGTGAGGAGAGCTGGTTGTTTTCTATTGCTATTGAAGCTTATGGAGGTTCATACTCATGAGACACTTGTCCAAAGGGACACTGGCCTGATGATGGGATGCCTGAATTCCAGGCCCAGTCTGACAGTAACAGGGTCTGAAATTGTCTCCTGCCCATTTTCCCCAAGGAAGGAGGGTGAGGGAGCTCACCTATCTCTCATAGAGTTCTCTCAGCTCTAAAATCCTTAGTCCTCCTTGCAGAGAGAAAGCATACTTGGGCCCTGGAGGCGGAAAGCTCAGGCTCAAATCTGGGCTCTGCAATCAACTGGATCCATGTCCAGGATCCCCAGTTTCTCACCTGTAAAATGGGGAGTGAACAGGCCAATGCACTGTGATGTACCTGATTGGCCCTGAATCTCTCTTCAAAGTTAGCGCATGTTACCCAGAAGAGCTAGAGAGAGACTTTCTGACTGTGGTGAATTCAGACTGATGAGAGGGGACTCTTTCCAAGCATTTTTTTTCTTGGAGAAATGCTGACACATTTTCTTGACCTGGACTTTGAGAATTTCTGCACATAACTAGCATTCTACCTGTCCCCTGCACACATGCCCCAAATACCTGTAGCAGGCCCTGCATTGGTCCCGGGAGCATTATCTACCTGGATGAAGATGACACCTTTAACTACAGACAGTCCCCAGTGAGTCGGGGGAGACAGTGCTACTACATCAGCAAGAGCGAGATAATTGCAACATGAAGGTTCAAGTGTCACGCTGTGAAAGAAATGCATTCTGCCATTTGGGGGAGTGTGGTGGTGCTTGATTTCTAGCTGGAACAAATCAGTTGTTTGGGGTCAGAGGGTCCAGAAGCAAAGAAAGTAGATGGAAAAGGAGGGGTTTCTCTGGCTTTCAGTTTTTGTCAAGGAGTCATGATTGAAAGGAAACAGGATTCCAGCAAGAGCTTAGCCACCACAATGGGCTTCTTGCTTGGCCCAAGGGCAATGTCACATCCCAGGGCTGAGCTTTGGTTCTTAGCCAAACAAGCACCCAGACCTTTAAAGTCATTGCAGAAAGCCCCAAATTTCATCAAGGGATGTTTGTCACCACCTGAAATGGAAACTTCCCTCAACTTCCAGTTTCAAAATAACTATAAAGAAAGATAACTTGGCTCGGCACCTGTGGCTCAAGTGGTTAAGGCGCCAGCCACATACACCTAAGGTGGCGGGTTTGAATCCAGCCCAGGCCCACCAAACAACAATGATGGCTACAACCAAAAAATAGCCGGGCATTGTGGTGGGCACCTGTGGTCCCAGCTACTTGGGAGGCGGAGGCAGGAGACTCTCTTGAGCTCAGGAGTTGGAGGTTGCTGTGAACTGTGATGCCACAGCACTCTACCCAGGGGGACAGCTTGAGTCTCTGTCTCAAAAAAAAAAAAGAAAGATAACTTCTGCCAGAATACTATAAAGGACCCTAGCAAACTTAAAAGATGCAAAGAATAGAATAGATATTAAAAAGGAATGAAACCAGCAAATGTTATTCCAAGAAGCATTGC